TCTCAATGGCCACATAATTAGGTGAAGGTGCTTGAATTAGAGGTGCCAAACGACTAGCATCAGGTCTGAAACCCTCGGAGTCTACTGTGTATCCTAAGCATGATACAGACGACAAAGTAAAATGACATTTAGATGGATTAACAAGAATATTTTTCTCACAGAAACGCCTGGACAGTTTTAAAGGATGTTCACTATGCGATTCGATGTTCTGTCCATGAACTATAATGTCCTCTTGTTAAGACTCAACACCATCTAATCCATCTATCGTGCGATTCATTACTTCCTGAAATATTGCAGGTGAATCCTTTAAACGGAAATGTAAGAACTTATACTTGAATAGCCCAAATGGAGTATTAATGTTTGTTTGTGCACTAGAAGAATCGTCAAGAGGAATCTGCAAACAAACATCTTCGAGATCCATTTTGGAAAGGTATTTTGAGCAGTTTGTACAGAATGTCCTCAGTTTCTGGCGTAATGCAGCTTTGCTGCGGTAAGTGACTATTGAGTGTAAGGCAGTAGTCACGACAAATCCTCGATGTTTTCTCAGCAGGCTTTATTGGCGTCACAGTGGGAGTAGCTTAATCCCAAGATTGAACTGGCACAAATATCCCTTGTTTAACTCCTTCTTAACTGCATCTCGCAAACCGTACGTAATCAATCGACGCTTTAGAAAGAGAGGATCACTCTCTATTTCAAGATGGATGAGCTGAACCTTCACGCCATCTACACAGTTTGGACATTGAAAAACTAATTCTCTGAACAAAGATTCATCGAACAACTCAGTGAAAAGTGAGATTCGGAAATTCAACAATCTAAGGGCTTTTAATCCCAATAAAGGTGGACCATATTCCCCGACAAGAAAGGGAATATTCACAAAACTACCAATGTATGATTTCAAACCAATGTTAGTAGCACCAATAAAAGGTGGTTTATGACCAGTAATACCTGTAACTAAACTAGTACTAGGGTCTAAGTAGGCATGCTTACAAAACGATAGTAGATTTTTATTAGACATTATAGACTCAGTACTCCTAGTATGAATTTTAAAAGAGTGAGACTTGCTTGAACTTGTAGTGGAGGTTCTCACCAGATGAGATTCCGTGCTGTGAAAAGTTGAAAGAGGCACTGACTCAATTTTACCAAACAAATTAGAAGAATCATGAGAATTCTGAGTAGAATAAGTATTCGAATTCCTGTACCCAATCTTACCAAAATTATGACACAGCACCGCGAAAACGACAACTGTTTCGTAGATGAATTTTTCCACATGAAAAACACGTTTTGATGTTTTTACTCTCTGTCTGCATTCTATCACATGTGGATGACAGTTTGGATTTCTTTTTATGAACACTTGCATTATCAATTTTGGATAGCATGACATAAGACACTGAGGTAGTGGGTGTAGGATTATTTTTGTCCTACAGATTTAGTCCTTCCTCAATACTGACGACACAGAGTCTTGGCTTTACTATAGTTAAAACAGAATAACTTGACTTAAACTTTATCTGTTTCTAAAACATAAAATAAATCATACAATTACTCCAAGAAAAATGTACAAATCCACTGTCATTACAAAAATAGGACAAAAACGTACCGAACAGTATTGAGGGTACGGACAAAATGAACAGTCAATTAATTACATGTATATACAAGTAGAGTGACAGACAGAAAAGAACATTCAAGGTCACCATCATGTGGTGTGAGTTACATTAATTGGCCAATAATCGCGACAAAAAAGGTCACATAATATTGATTGGCTGCTTATCACACAGTCTATCTATCTGTCGCGATTAACACTCCCCGCGAACGATCACCACGTTGATCTTTCGTACGCTTCTTATATCTTGTTCCACTTCTTGAGTTGAAGTTTTCAAACACAGTGTCCTGACGTGACCATCTTGGTCATAGTACATCTGCTTAACTATAGCCTTTCGCCAGAGACCTCTCTGTGTGTCAGCACTGTTAACTAAGACGAGATCATCAGGTTGTAGGTTGTGCTTTATATCCAACCACTTAGATCTTGTTTGCAGCATCAGAAGATATCCACGTAGCCATTTATGCCAGAGCAAATCAGTCAAATATTTTGGAAGTAGTTGACTATAGTGTTGGGAGAAAGCATATCCATACATAGCATTCGCTTTACCTTTGTAATATTGTAATTTTCTTAAGAATTCACCAATTGCTGAACGAGCCGCAGTTAAAGGCCTTTTTGGAACTAAGGAAATACACAAATCAGATGCATCGTCCTCACCGACTACTTTATGTGTACGTCCCATAGAATCGTCAGCTTCAATCAAAACTTGCAGAATCGCATAACGAGCACAATAATGTGCTTGACACCATGATCCAATGTCATCAGCATTTTCTCCTGCAGAATAAATCTCCATGGAAGTTACAGCTGAAGGAGACATTGACAACCAATTAATATAGACTACATCTGAGACATTGCCTTGAGCACAGTTGGTATTCAGACCGAACTGCTCCAGAACAAGAGGTAAATCAGATAAATAAATTCCAACGCACTCAGCTCGACACTTATCTATTGCAGATGGAAGGTTTGGAAACTTGCTGTCATACGTTTCTCCTGGTTCACACCAACCTTTTATAGGACCTCCATTTATGACATATTCAGTAGTTTTCGTGTGGAAATTTCGTTTTCCATAACAATCACGCCGAAACAGTTTACCAGAATCATATCCCATCAGTTCATGAAGTCCAACTTGTAATTCAAAGGAACTTTCAGCATGTTCCACGTACATTTGTTTGTCTTCATTACGTAGAAATTCTGGTTTAGGATCCTTGAAACGAACACTAAGTACATTATCCAAAGAAACATTTTTAAATCCATCAACTTGTCGTACATCATAATAGTTAGGAATATTAGTTCTAACAGGAATTCCAGCAGTTTCAAACGTCGCTACATCCAAACTGGTAAGGTCTGGCTGTAAGAAATTAACTTTTTCAAATGTAGAAGGCCATGGTAAATTTGTTAACAACCTTTCAGCATTATTCACAAGTCGTTGGAATTTTCTAGACACTGATCTATTTACAACAGCGACAAATGATTCAAACCTTGCACGAACACCAAAGGGATCACGGTATGACTCTATAAACCCAATATACTTTTCAACAACAGGGTTCTTATCTTTAACCCATAACCTGAAGGCATCCTTGTGAGTGGCTACTGAGCCAGTAGTGAAGCTTTCAGCATACTGATGCCACATTTCTGATTCAATTTGGTTAAGCGAATGTGCTTTAAAATCCTTATAACAATCGACTAGTAACTTCATCAGCTCACTATAGTCACCATATTTAAGCTGCAAAGATGTGTCCGAGGGAAGGGCATCTCTTAACTTCTCATGACGTTGACTTAGAGGGATTTGCAGGTCATGGTAACGTCGGGCTAACTGTCTTTGTTTTTCTTGGATAATAGGAGCGTCGAAATGACTTTCTGCAGCAAGCGTGTCAGCCTGGACTTTGAATGCATCTATACGTTCACGATGAGTAGTTACATCAGATTCAAGCAAGTTGTGCCGCTTTTGTGCGTTCATCACACCATTTAGATCACGACCGACATCCTCTGAGGCTATCTGAGCTTCAACATCATTCAACCGTAACTTGACATCTACGTTACGAGCGAACTGTTGTTGACTACTTGCTTGATCTAAATTTTTCTTCTTGTCTCCCATGGCATTTACGAGATGAGACCAAGTTTCATCCAACTGTTCAATCTTTACTTTTATTTCTGGCGAGTTGTAGTGGTTTGCACTTAACAAATCCTGACCTGTCTTTTTAATATCTTCAACGCGGGATTGGTTCGCTTGTATTTCTGCCTCAAAACTCTGATGCTTCTGCACCTTTGTTTGCAAATTCGTGGAGTCTTTGTAACTTTCATCAAGTGCATTTTCAAGTTTTCTTGATATCCATAACTGCATTTCATCTGCATCTCTATCGAACATTTAGTAACGGTGGGAATCTTCAAGACGCTGACGGCGGTTCTGAGCTTTCTCCTTTAATGCATTTCGTCTAATTTGGAGACCTTCCTGAATCTCATGAACCTGTGCAGCCGCATAGTGGTTTGATTCGATTAGGTTTGCAGAGAAACCATCAAGTTGTCGCATCTTTTCTTCTTGTTTTAAAAGTGACTTTTCGAAGTCTTCATGTTGCCTTATGAGTGCTTCCACAGAATCGAGTGAGTCTCCCACATCTTTTATTTCTAAGAGGGCCTCTTGCTTACCAATCCAAGATTCCGACTGTTCAGCGTCGCGGTAAAAATACTGAAGGCCCATACACTGTTCTAGCTGTGCACGTCTTTCCTCACACAACTGCATCAGGGAGGCTCTCCCTCTTTCAAGGGTGGAAAGTTTAGCAGCTATATCTCCATTACAGGGATGGCCAACACTTAGTAATGCCTGACCTTCTTGCATGCATGTATCGAAACTGTCAGCTCGAGAATTTATCTCAGCGGTGTATTCCTTATGTCGTTCTACTTGGGCTTCAGCACCAGCTACATCCTTTGCGAAATCATCCGCCGATATTAACGTCTTCATGTCATTCATCCAGATACTCACGTCTCTCCAGTCAGCCAAAAAGCGATGCATCTTGAATGACTCTTCCAGTTTACCTCTCATATCTACAGCCTGACTTTTCAGCTTATCCCATGCAGTAATTAAGGCGTCATACTTGCCTTGTATAGTGTTTTGCGAATCAGGATGCTTCTGTGCAAGCGCCTTAGCATCATCTCCAAGTTGAACAATCTTTTCATCTGAGGCAGTCAAATCCCTTTCTAATGCTTCGTGCTTCCTTTGTAAGGCTTGGACTGAGGCAAGATCACGACCACAGTCCTCAATGGATAAAGGAATGGACTTTTCATTCACCCACGATATAGCTTTATCTGTGTCTCTAAAGAAGCACTGTATCTCATAGGCTTCCAGGAGCTTTTCTTGTCGTTTTCTAACCAGATCCTTCAGACGTTCTAGAGCTTCGCGGACCTGTCTGAACTTTTCTATGACTAGGGCATCCTCAGGAAATTTCTCTTTTAGAAGTTCATCTGCCTTCCGATAGATGTCTTCTGCACGACTTTCTTGATTCTCGAGATCTTTTGTAAACTCATTAAGCCCTTTTTGAAGTGTCTCAACATCTTCCAAGTCTTGACCTAAATCCTCTGATGTTACGTAAGTTTCGTTTTCACGTATCCAGAAAAGTATCTCGTCGACTTGGCGTAAAAACTGGACAAATTTAAGCTTTAGGTTAATGACACTGGATTTTTCTCTGAAAATAGCCATAAGCCTTTCCCACAGGGCATGCAATTCATCAAGACGGTTTTTGATAATATCTGTTGCGTAGTACCCCTGACCAATCATTTCTTCTCCCGCAGAATCCAGAGCTGACAGTGTTTCAGCATGAACTGTTACTTCGAACTCAAGCTCTTGATGTTTCTGTTTTTTCAGCTGAAGATTACTGAGTTCTTTAAAATCCTCGTTTGCATATGTTTGCAGTTTTTCATTGATCCAACACTCAAGTTCATCGGCATCCATCTTAAAATATTGATATCTTTTAAGCATGTCCAGAAACTTAGATATAGTTCTGGCGGACTCATCATTAAGAGATACAGCGACTTTATGGGAAGTAGAAGGTTTGTAAGGCGATTTATTGTGACAAGAACATTCGCGACTACCTTGTCGTAATCTTTCAAATTCCATTTCTTTCTCTTTTTGGACTATGCGCAATTTCGCTAGCTCCAATTCTATCATATAGCGTGATTTATTCTCGATGCTTCCAGGGAAATCAGCTTCATTACTCTTTCCTAACTGTGGAGTTAACGACGGCATAGTTTCATAACTTTCGTCTGCCATACTGTTCGAAACTTTCGTCTGGAATACTGTTCGAAACTTTCGTCTGCAATACTGTTCGAAACTTTGTAGGATTATTTTTGTCCTACAGATTTAGTCCTTCCTCAATACTGATGACACAGAGTCTTGGCTTTACTATAGTTAAAACAGAATAACTTGACTTAAACTTTATCTGTTTCTAAAACATAAAATAAATCATACAATTACTCCAAGAAAAATGTACAAATCCACTGTCATTACAAAAATAGGACAAAAACGTACCGAACAGTATTGAGGGTACGGACAAAATGAACAGTCAATTAATTACATGTATATACAAGTAGAGTGACAGACAGAAAAGAACATTCAAGGTCACCATCATGTGGTGTGAGTTACATTAATTGGCCAATAATCGCGACAAAAAAGGTCACATAATATTGATTGGCTGCTTATCACACAGTCTATCTATCTGTCGCGATTAACAGTGGGTATTCACTGGATATTCACTGTTGACATCTTCATGTGTAATGCATAAATACTTAGCAGTTTGAAAGGTGTAGGAAGGGATCTGAATCATCTCTTTCTCCAACTTTAGAATATTTATCGCAACAATTAGGCGATCACGTAGTCCAGGATGGACCTGATCGTCAAAGTTGCATTCTGAAGGTTGTAACTGAAGCTGGACAACGAATTCTCGAGTCTTCTGGCTAGGAGGACAAACAAGTTTGTTGAACTGTCCCCTCTCTCCTGTTTCAAAAGTAATTATATGGAAGTGACCTACCAGAAGTCTACGGAGTTTATCATATGGCAGAGAAATGTCAGAATTTTCACTAGACCGTACACATCTAGCCCATTCGCAGTAATAAAATTAGTTGAAATTTTGTTATGACGAACATTCTTCAACATACACCATGAGTCAAAGCACTCAGGGTAATCGGTTTTTCTCGTGGCGAACAGCTAATAGGAAAGATTCCAAGAATATTTATTTCCATAGCGTTTCCAAAATGTAATAGTTATTTGTAATGGTATAAATTCGCGGTGACCAAGTTACAGGAAATCAAACAACAACACAGTCTGTGTAATCCCAATCGTCAGAGAATGATCTGAAACAGAGAAGAAAGAGCAGTTAGCAGTTCGATCACACAAGTGCCACTTGCTGACTAGAAGGAAGATTCAAATTCAAGGATTGTATTCACAATCAATCATTATACAATTAAGTGAGAGGGTATGGATTTTCCTATTGGTCACCCGCCGCATTGCTTCACGCAACTAATCCCTGCACGCTAAGTGGTCAACTTGAAATTAGACTAGCATAGTTAAAACATTGGAAAACCGCATGAATACCTACTCTCTCAGAGAAGAACAGCCCGCAGTGCTAGGTGATTACGTCCGCTGGACTTACCTCAAATCAAGCTTGTTGCCGAAAACGTCTATTATTATTGTTTCCTTAAGTTCCTAGAGGTACATAGGGCTTCAGCCTCACTTCTCCATTGCGTTCGGTCCTCCGCCAACGTTTTCACCTGGCCCCACTTCTGCGCACATGCTTCCATCTCCTCTTCACATGACCTCCACGTCACCCTTGAACAATCAACTCGCCACCTCCCGTTCGGGTTCCACTCAAGAGCCTGTCTTGTGATGCCACTTGATGGTCTTATCAGAGTGTGGCCAATCCACCTCCACTTCTTCCTGCCTATTTGTTGCAAAATTAGTTTCAGGTTCATTCTTTCCTAGAGATCTCTGCTGCCGACCTTTTCCACAGACCTGATGTTGAGTACCGAGGGATGACAGTGGTTGATGAATATCTGAAGCTTGTTCGAAATGCCCTTCGGGACGCTCAAAGTCTCTGATCCAAATAGTGACAGGGTTCAAGTTGGAGTTGAAAATCCTGATCTTATAATTCAATGCTGTTTACCTCCATACAGACTTGAGAGAAATGGAAGCTTGCCTTGCTTTCCCGATCCTCGCTTAGTAGATATCCTCATCAGTTCCGTCCGCCTGTAGTTGAAACGATGCCTCCCAGGTAGGTATAGGTTGCTTCTTTCAGATTTCTCCTGTTTATTTCATGCAACCGGTTCTCCTGTTTATATTTATTGTTGTCTGTTGTTGTTGCAGCTGCTGTTGGTCAGGGATCTTCATCACTGTTTTCTCCATGTACACCTGAAGGCCTATCTTTGACGCTTCTTCTGGCAACTTGTTGCTTTTCGTTTGCATGTCTTCCAGTTTGTGGGAAATCAGACATATATCATCGGCGAAGTCCAGATCCTCCAAGTTTTTTGTGTGTGTCCATTTTATGCCTGTTTCCTCATTGCCCACTGTTTGTCACATTATCCAGTCTACTGCAATCAAGAAAATCATTGGCGATAGTAGGCAGCCTTGTCTTACTCCTGTCCTCACTTCGAAGGATTCCGTAAGTTTCCCGTTGTGGATTACTTGGCATGCAGCATTGTCATACAGCTGTTGGATGAGATGTATAATTGTCGGTGGCACCCCGTAGTAGCGAAGTAGTTACCAAACCACCTCTCGATCGACGCTGTCAAATGCATTTTCAAAGTCGATGAAGTTGAGATAGAGAGGTGACTGCCATTCCAAACTTCGTTCAATAATGATCCGTAGTGTGGCGATTGGATCAACACATGACTTGTTTCTCCTGAATTAAGCCTGTCCCAATAGCAGTTTTTCATCCAGGACTTGTTTGATTGCCTCCAGGTTGATGCGGATTAAGATTTTGTTTGGGTTGGAGAGGGGCATAATTCCGCGCTAGTTCTTGCATTGACTTAAGTCTCCTCCCTTCGGTATTTTGAATAGGTAGCCTTTCTTCAGATCCGCAGCAACCTTGTCCTCTTTCCACACCTTATCCAGTAGTGGTGTCATCAAGTCAGTTGATGTCTCGGGGTCCATTTTCAATGCTTCTGATGGGATTCCGTCTAGTACTGCTGCTTTTTCAGTTTTTAGCATCTTTATTGCCTTCAGGATTACTGTCTGCGTCGGAGGATGGGTGTCAACTGGTAGTTCTGCTCCCGCTGGTGGTATTATTGGGAGCGTTGTAAGTGGCGGTCGATTTAGAAGTCTTTTGAAGTGTTCAGCCCAGTGTTTCCTTTGATCCACTTCTTTGGTGATTGACTTCTCATTGTCATCCTTCACTGGCTTAATTTGTGTTGTTCTCTTCCCCAATAGGAACCTAGTTGTTTTTGTGATGTTGCGAGGTCTCCTTTGACTGCAGTTTGTTCTGCTTCATTTGCTGTAGCCTCTTAATATCGTCTTTTATGTTCCCCGGCACCTTTCTTTGCTCTTTTATTCAGTTTATTGTAGGTCACTTTTAACTCCTGTTTTCGTTGTTTGTCGATGCACTGGATAATCGTTTATTTCACCATCCGCCTCTCTTCTATTAGCCTCCGTGTGTCTGTTGTGAGTCACTGTTTGTCCTGTCCCATCTTTCTGCCTACAACTTCCATGTAGGTTTCACTCCACACCAATTTCGGGTTGTTCCAGTACTTTTAAACGCTGGTCTATTTGCTTGTTTTGGTTTGTGTCTCCGCCTTTTTCATCACGATTGCAGTGAAGATGTCCTTTGTGGCCCTATCCTTCAGTTTTCAAGAATTGAACCTGGCTTGTGGTTTACCTGCAGCTCCTGTTTCCTTGAAAGCCTTTAATTTGATTTGGAGTGTACCTTGCACGAGGCAGTAATCTGGCCTAGCACCTGCTCCTCTTTTTACTTTCGTGTCCAGTAGACTGCGTCCCCACTTTCTTCAGATTGAGATGAAGTCAATTCGGCTTTTGGTTCGCCCGTCTGGTGACACCCATATAGCCTTGTGGACGTCCTTGTGCTTGTATACGCTGCCACCAATCACTATTTTATTGAAGGCACAGAAGTCGGAGAAGAGTTCTCCGTTTTCATTCATCTCTCCAAGTGCTTCTCAACCCATAATTACTTCTCTTCCTGTGTTGCCTGGTCTCATTTTGGCTTTCATGTCACCCATTAGGATCCTGATGTCACCAACTGGAGTATCGTCCACTGTTACTTGTAGTTGAATGTAGAACTCTCCTTTCTTTTTGAGGTTTGCGTTGTGTGTGGGTGCATAGCATTGTATAATTGTCAATCTCCTTCTTTTTGAGTTGAATCTAGTGGTCATTATCCTGGGCGTGTCATGCTATGTAACTTACCAAATTTCTATTGGATTTCATTTACTTGCCTCTGCATATCTTTCACAAAGCAGCTTAATTTGCAGAAATCGGAGTTCTCCAAAAGAACATCTTCCACCCGTATCACAGGAGTGAGAACCGCACTCAAACCATTTTGTGAGCTAGTAGTTGATACTGTATTACAGGCTGGCAATGTAGTGATGACTGAGCTTGCGTCACCATCTTAAGCAGTTGTGTTTCTACAATTACGTGTTTTAGAAATTGGGACCGTAATATTAAGAATCATTAAGAATCACTATTGTAGCGGTACGTCCAACGTTTGCGTTACATTTTGCGTGATTCGTTACATAAAATTTATCTTGTTGTAATCCTTGCACAAGTACTCTACTACCTCCATACCTATAACGATTAACTCTCATATCAAATAGTTATGGTTAACCAAAGTAAAAAGCAACGAACTCAATCCCCTGTAAAACTGATGACTAATTTTAAGTCGTTGATTGCTACATCAAGCAACACACTTCCTACAAATGGTTATAGTGAGCCACATAACTCACTTGTATGTCGTAAGCGTCGAGCTGAAACTGTGGATAAAACTATACCGACAGCTAGTATTAGCACTACTCCCAAAAATTCAGTACCCTCTGCTCATACAGAAACCCTCCCTACACCTTATGTGCTTATCGAAAAGCTCCAGCCTTCAAGCTCTGTTTCAGTACTATCTTCAGAAATAGAACTTCTAAAGTTGTCTATAGGAGAACTTAAGGCAGAGTTAAGGGACTTAAAAAACAATAAGTCAGTAGATCCTGGAATTTCTGAAACCAATACCAAAATATCCAAATTATCAGATCAGATCAGTGATATCGGATCGCAGGTCTGTGAACTGACACCTTTAACTATTCTCATGAAAACTGTAGACCTCAACAAACTTGACAATGAATCGATATCTAAGGTGGATAACCTAATTAACTTTGTTACTACAGAAGTAACAAAACGACTCGATGCTAAACTAAATGCTATTTTCTACAACGTTCCGGACAACGAGGCACTAAAAAGGGTACAGCGCATCCTACTTAGTGAGGCGAAAATGCCCAACTGCAAGACTAAGTGCTACAGGCTGAAGAAGAGTCAACATGAAAAGTGTTGTCCTATTCGTTTTCAGTTCGAAACACCGGCTGAGGCCAGAAAATTCATCCACTCCCAACACACCCTATCTCAAGTCAGAAATTACAAACTAATAAAGGTTGCAGTGGACAAGACAGTCATAGAAAGGCGCGTATACAATCATCTCACTGAGTCTAATTGTGGAATAAACAATAGGACATTGCAAGCAGCAATTATACCCAACCCTATGAGAGATACCTTAGAGTCCACCGCACCACCCCTCTCTAACCACACAGAATTATCCTCTCAGAGAGAGACACCAACCGAAAGGCCACTAAACTGTAATCAAATAGCCAATAAAACTATGCCGCCTATCAACGTAGATATAGACATGTCACCAAATAATCCCGGAAAAAAGTCAAAATCCCCCGACAGTCGGCCCTGTCCTCTCCTGTCCATAAGTCCATTGGTAAAAAAAGGAGAACATGACCCCAAATCATGCCAACAACAAAAGTGGCAGTATAAATAAGTCTAAATCTCCCACGGTCAATAGTATCAGCACCCAAAACGTGCGAAATAGCACCATGGCCCACACTGATAACCAACGCCACAACAATGCCTCCCTCAATAGTACAAGTGGCAATAGTCAGAACTCGACCACCAACAACTCAGGGTATCCACAGTATG